TTCAAATACATACAACAACCTCCATATACACTTTCCCATATATCCACCTCTCAAACACTCTGACTATCTCATCATTGTTTGCGTTTGTCGACACGAAATCTAATTTGTACACTACTGTCATTCACCTCCTCCTTCTGGTTTACCACCACTTCCATAACAATCCAGTGTCAACACCAGTATCATCAAACTGACTCCAATCACACAACTCTCATATCATACATTAACATCACAGCCCACAAACATACAAAACTATACCATTACATACAAACAAACACACACACACACGAATAATACACACTCATTCAATCACTAACTCACTCACTCACTCACACACTCACTCACTCACTCACTCACACTCACACACAAAAGGTTACCTCTACACATTACGTCACCATGTATGTGAAGCTGATCAACTAATTCATCATGATCTAATTCACATTCACTTCAATAGTCAGTTCAACTCATATAAGTGTGAACTTGTCAAACAATGAACCACATGATCTCTCAAAACACCATTGTTTCACACAGTTCTATTAACAGGTACAGGCAGTACAGTACTCTCACATCAACTCAATCACATTAGCTAAATCAACACATCCTAAAGCAACACTAACAACAACAATAATTATAATAATAGCAATAAAACTAATAGTAGTATTATGATTGTTATCATTCGTCGTATTAGTTACGTTATCAATAATGAACATGATAATAAAAGCACTAACAACAGTTTCAACATCCTTCTACATATGATCAGACACTCATCCTGTTCAAAACACACTGATTCGTCAACCAATCTTCCATGACACTGATTCACTTGTCTCAATAATCCCCACTTACTCAGTCCACACACTTTGTTCAAATGAACTCACACAAACTAACAACAGACAAACAACCACACACGCTTACACACACACACTTCGTCAAAATGTACCACTCACCATTTAATCAATACACATTCGCTGTATAGTTCCAATACACTGTAATCCCATACAATACAGTACACTTGTTCAATTTCAAATCCAGTAGGACTTCTCCACTCTGTTGACCAGGTCAACACACAATCTCTCTGACACATCATTCAACTCCTCCACATATCTGGAAAATAGTCATCCAAACTACCCGACATATGGAAATCTTGCAATCTGTATGTAGCACTCAACTAAGCACGCATCCAGCACACTCTCAACATAAATACCATTCGTAAATTCACAAATACTAATCACACGTTCCAACAACATTTTCAACAAAACCACCCACAAACACACACACACACTCACACACTCACACCTCACCTACACACTCAGAACGCAGATCTACGCAACTCTTCAGGTATCCTGTCAATCGTTATCAAGTCGATTTCAACACCGTCCCATACGTACCACGTGAAATCCATTGAACAAAGCCGAGTGTGAATTATCGCGCTTTCATCTACGCACACAAACACCCGTGTGCATTCACATATACAAACACATACAAATACACAATACTTCATCAAATTATTTTCATAGCAATATACGATTGCGAATCTGAATGGTTAATTATACATTTATGAACAATGAATATATTTTCAATAACGCCAAAAACGAGCGGAATATATCCAATTTATTACACTATATAACAGTACCGCACTTGATAAAATAATCCATAAACCTTTGAAGGCTCAATGTTTATAAAGCAAATGCCTTTAACCTATTATAAGAAATTCCTAAAAGTTAAAATAAAAACACATGAAATAATGTCAGTAATATAAATTTACAAAACTACCAAACCATTTCATAGAAAGTTTGGAAATACTTTGAATGTTCAATGAAATTGAAATCATATGACATGCGTACAAAATGAAACATCACAAGAATGAGAAATATCTAGTATTTGTTAACTGATCTCTGATGGTAAATGTAGAGAATAGAGAGTGGAGAACAAGAGAAACAAACCACTTGTTGATTTGTCAAATATGTTATTCACAAATTGTAAATGATGTAAATTTGTGCAACGTTGAGTGTAATGGAAAACATTAACAAAACCTTTATTGTTGTCTTAAGTTGGTTAAATTTTCATAACGATAAATCGATAAAATCTAATTGAAAAATTCTGATTCTTATATAATTTTTATTTTGACGTAGACGGAATATGAGAGGATTATATAATACAACGAAGAAACTAGCAGGGAAATGTGATCATCATAGTGACCAGTCAAGAATAAAGTAGGTATGCCAATCACTGAGATTCAAGAATTATGGGAAAATCTTTTTGTTGAGCTTGTGAAAAGACCAGCCCCACTGAACCCAACGAATTTCATAGCAGCACACAAACCTTGCTATAACTGCTAACTTACCAACAATCGAAAAATTGTTCATGGTCATCAAGCAGATTAGGAGATGTGAACCCAGGGCCAATCAGTCTCGCGCCAGGCGCTTAACCAACTAGACCACTGAGCTGACATCCAATATGTATTAGAATTTAACATTGAGGTAAGAAATAGTATGAAACAATTGACATAATTGAATGTAAATCATTGAAATGACAAAGGTTATCAATAACATATATGCAAGAACATGTCAGAAGCTATTCGATGTTAGAATTAAGGAAACATTAAGGATGGGTGGCGTAATAGTTGAGTTGTGTTTACAGACAGATAAGATAAATTGTGTGACAATTTTAGAGGCAATGAAGCATTCATGGAATTAAAAACTGATAAGGTGGGTTACGAAATAACTGAATGGAATTAGAAGAGTTCACATAATTTAAGAGGATTAAGTGAGCGGAAATATGTGGATGAAAGGGTGGTTTAAGAATTCGGTAATGAGAGAGGAATATAACACAAACTAAATGTTTTAAAAAATAAATAAATAAAATAACACTAATTTAATTGAAAAATTCTAATTCTTGGATAATATTCATTTTGACTTAAAGAAATTAAACCCATATCCTAATGGGGTTCAATAAAATGATAACTTAAGCGCAACGTGTCAAGTAAATTGATTGTAAATTTGTCCACTCATTCAATAAAACAATTTACTGAGGTATAATACAAATCAAACTGACATTCAATGGTTATTGACATCGGCTCAAAAACTGGTTCTATCATTGAAAATGTAAACTCATTTACAATGAGAACTATTCAGATCCATGGGGTTGAACCTAATATATCGAATGACCATCTGAGTTGATCTGAAGGATATTTCACAGTTTCAGTTGTCTTCAATGTTTCGGTGTGAAGTTTTATTAACAATGAAGAATGCTAGTTTTATCATTGGTCTTTTCTGAGGTCTAGACCGGTAAGTAATAGTTACAATGTCTGGCTCTATAAAACATGCAGAAAATTTTTCCAGAGATATGAAGGTGAACTATTGACAACAACTTACACGCTATGAGCATGGTTATGATCAATAAACTGACTAGTTAAATGTACAATTATTGTGGCTGCTATTTAGTTGATCGAATTCAAAAGTCTACTGAAAACCATGTAAATCTCATTACATTGATAGACCCATCTCAAACTAAACTTACTTTCGAGGTACATCGGTAAACAACCAATCGAAACATCTGTAACTGTAATTTGAAACCGGAAATGTTGATTTAATTTTCTATGCTAATCAAATGAATAATGTGGAGTATAAAATTTGTAAATAGTTTTGTTGATTAAGATGCAATTCCGATGAACCACTCATTCAGGCTAAACGTCAATATTTATGTGACTAATAAGAATAAAAAACAGTATTGAGATTGTTTAAAATCTATGTCTTACTACTCATTAGCCTATCAGCAAATTAGATAACCTTCGAAAAATTGCGACTATACACAATCGAATTGCTATTTCAGCTTTTTTAAATAAGTGAACTACGAGTAGTTTTATCATTCGACAACTTGTGTTGAAATTACTGCATTTCCATTTAGCTACTATTCATACTGATAACGCTTATTTTTTTAAAGCATCGTTTGCGCAAAATAACGGGATTAGATATCTGGGCATGGAATTATCAATTTATCATTGACAAGTATTCGGGCTCATATTAGCAGTTGAATAATATGGAAAGTGTTAAGGAATACGAAAGCGTGAAATCATTTCGTTTGCTATATTTAATTGTTTAGTCTTGAGGGGTGAAGTTTAAAAGAAGTTGATGAGTGATAATTGACCCACTAGAGTATAATAATTGGTTCAATTACTGCAGTAACCGACAGGTACCTCCAATGACCGGAAGATTATATGATTAGTCCATATAATTAATAACCAATAGCAGTCTCACTTCGTTTATTTTACTGATTTATGTTAACGTTTCTGTATGAAAAATCGTAGCTTTTAATTTTTCCTGAAATATATCCAAAAGGAACCAATTTATCTCAACAGTTAACTGACTAAAAGGTAGCTATCTGTGATCAATTTATTTTGTTCAGCCTTATATATAAGATACTTTCAAACTGTTTTTCTCACTCCGAATTCATAGTTTTGTTAGTAAAATGTGAGAAATCAAAGATATGAAAAAAGACTAGAATGTGAACAGATTCAATAACTGTACATATAGATGACTAAAGTTTTACCGAGAACTGTTTAATTTGTCATGGTTAATGGAACAGTGATCGAACAACATCCAACTGATGTTCATGTTGTAAGTTTTCATTTTTCTCACACGTGGTTACATAGTTTTATATATCTCACTTGTTTGCTGAATAAACTTCATGTTTTGAGTAAACTGTTAGTTCTAGTATAAAGCCATTATGATCTGGGACAGTAATTTGACTGTATCTTGAATTAGCAGTCAGCTGATGTCAGTTAATTCATCAAATTTAACCTACATGTACTACCCGTCATTCTTAATTCGTTAATAAAATATTTAACACGGAAATGTGAAATTGAAGAAGAAATTGGTTCGTTTTATTACAGTATTATTTTCAATACAAAACAGAATGAAACTAAAGTATCAGTGAATTGCAGAAATTAAAAAAAAGATTAATATTTCTCGTTTATTAGTTACAAAATAATGCCCATGCTTAATATACGGCTGAATCTATAAAACACAGAAAGCAAGATAAAAATAATCGATTTGTGTAGAATATAATGTTTGTTCAGTTTCACTGCATCTTAACTCTGAAGAAACAAGTGAGTGTTATGACTATCACAGTCAACAGATGATGAACTATACGTGTCTGTACACTCTTATTACAATAGTCAGTTTGACAACAATCATAAGACAATGATCTGTGTGTTGGACCCCAAAACGCAAAGCTGCACTCAGGTGCACATTCTCTGATTGGAGTTGGGTAATGTTTTACCGAAAGCTTCTACAATAAAACATATGAAAGTGAAATATATATACTCTCGTTATTTCAACACAAATAATAGTATCTCTATAAGAAACAATAATCAACAGATTCATTTAGCACTATGCAATGGTTGCTAAGAGTCTAGTAGGACGTCCTTCACATCTAACAATCTATTTGTTTAAGTAAAATGAGTATTGTTAAATTGATTTCTCCAATCAGTGTGTTTAAAATAATACTTTTTTATCAGAACACATTTTGTTGTCAACATCACGGTAATCAGTTTTAATTATTTCTTGGACATTTTTGTTCGTACATAGTGCAAGTAAATAGATTTGTTTCTCCAAACCTGAAGATCACTTGAAAATAATAATAGTTTACAGCGATGATTAATTCCAGCTGATCGAAGTGAGGACAATTACTTACTTTACTTACTTACGCCTGTTACCCCTCGTGAAGGAGCATATGCCGCTCACCAGCACTCTCCATCCAACCCTGTCCTGGACAATCCTTTCCAGCTCTTCCCAGTTGTTATTCTTCCATTTCATATCTGCCTCGATTTCCGGACGTAATGTGTTCTTTCGCCTTCCTCTTTTCCGCTTCCCTTCAGGATTACAAGTTAGGGCTTGTCACGTGATGCAGTTTGATGATTTGCGTAATGTATGTCCTATCCATTTCCATCGTCTTTTCATACTTTCCTTTTCAGCTGGAAGCTGATATGTTCTCTCCCACAGAAGGCTATTGCTGATGGTATCCGGTCGATGGATGTTGAGTATCTTGCAAAGACAGCTATTTATAAATACTTGTGCCTTCTTGATGGTGGTTGTTGTTGTTTCTCAAGTTTCAGCTCCATACAGTAGAACTGCCTTGATGTTCGTATTGAAGATTCTCACTTTGATATTGGTTGAAAGTTGTTTTGAGTTCCATATGTTCTTTAACTGTAGGAATGCTGTCCTTGCTTTGCCAATCCTTGACTTTACGTCTGCATCTGAACCTCCTTGTTCATCGATGATGCTTCACAGGTATGTGAAGGACTCTACATTTTCCAGAGTTTCGCAATCAAGAGTGATTGGATTGCTGTTCTCCGCTTTGAATTTGAGGACTTTGGTTTTCCCTTTGTGTATGCTGAGGCCTACTGATGCAGAGACTGCTGCTACACTGACTGTCTTCATCTGCATCTGTTCGTATGTACGTGATAGGAGTGCTAGATAATCTGCGAAGTCCAAATCGTCTAATTGATTTCGAGCTGTCCATTGAATTCCGTGTTTTCACTCAGATGTCGAGGTCTTCATAATCCAGTCGACCACCAGAAGAAAGAGGAAGGGAGAGAGTAGACAGCCTTGTCTGACTCCGGTCCTTACTTGGAATGCATCTGTTAGCTGTTCTCCATGCACGACATTGCATTGTAGTCGAGGATAACTAACACTGTGGTAAATTGTCTTTAGCCCTAAATAACTGAAAACAACTAACGATTCACTTTCACTTAGATTTAGTGTTACTTATGACAGAGAAGAATAGATAATTTTCAATCATTTATAAAACTGTTCGTTAGTTATGCTTGTACACTAGAGAGACTACAGGACATTCAGATGAATTAACAATTACCCTGTTTTGAACGGTCATAAGTACATTAATGAGTAACGGTTCAACACTTTAGTTAATCTCACTGGATAAGCTTATTGAAATTCAACAAATGAATGATTCATTGCACTTACTGCACACCATTTGCAATTATGTCCTATTTTCACTGAAGAATTCCTGAATGGAACTGGACAAGGATTGCATTCATAGCAGCTTAAAGACAGACCTGAAATCAGATAAGAAGATATAACGGTACTGTCAAATTTGTACGTTTGTTTAAACTAACTCAACGACTGTTCTTATTTATGATTTAATGAATAGTTCATTGACTGAACACAACAACATTCATGGTATTACTTACAAACATAACAAGTACATACTGAAGAAATAAAGTGTTGATCACAGTCCTGTTCGAGCTAACCAGTTTTCACCAGACTTACATTGAGTCGCAGGTAACATGATGGATAGTTAAAGGATTTAAATCAGTCAGTATAAACAGTTAAGAAGAAATCTGTTTCAATTTTTTCTAGTTAACCGAAATACCTTTACATTATTTATAAAACAATCATCATATAACAAAGCGAAATGTTAACAAGTTATCTTACTGCAATGTATATTAACTATAATCAGCAAGATGGAAAGGAGAATCTGTGAAGTATACTCCATGGTGGTAGTAGGACAATTAAAATCCGATTACTGTACTTAGACGTTTATTGTAATGATATCGTAATGTTCAGACCAATTTAATCATGATTTTATCAGACTCTTATGTCATCAATACACATTAAAGCATATTTAGATGATTGGCCAACCGAAAAACTAAATGTTGATTGGATATCATATTCTGTAGTACAGACTACACACTCACTAGACATACAATGTTAATACGATATGAACATTTATCATAAGGAATATTACCGGTCGCGAAGTTGAATTTCCTGAGTAAACCTTATCACATAACCAAGGTATTCTCGAGTCTAGTAATTTGTAGAGAGTTTGTCTACCCGTTGTCTTCCTTAGGTACGTGTTCGATATAGGTTCCATTTTATCTGTTTCACCTAACAGACTGAAAGATTGAATAGCACTACCATGTAGTTTTGTGTTTAATTATCTTCCAAATGTTGAGAAAAATACTATCTCGAGAACGATGACACGCAACACGTGAGAAATATTATCTAAATTTTATCGATCAAGACTAAGAAAATATAATGAGGAGTAATAACAAATAAATTTGATTGGTTTTGAAAACATCTAACATTTATAAATGGCCTCGCAATGTAATTCACGTATTTCTGCGGTCGTTCATTCATGCTATTAACACAATTCTCGTGTACTATTTGAAATAGAAAGCATCAGGTGTCGTGATTATCATCGTACGACTAATATCAAAGCGTTTCAACACAATGAAAGTGAGTAAAATAATCTGATGTCTTCTGAAGTGTAAAAACTGGTGTACATGAAAAATCTCAAACTATAATTTAACCGGCATCATTGTGAGATATCGGTTGATCTGTGTGTGAAATTGACTTCATTGACAGGTATCATTTATTCGTTTATTATTTTACATTGGATTAAATCCAATCACATGAAAAAAATGCCGACACGAGCAATGATGTATCAGACATTGAGTTACCTGTTAATTCAATCAATACCAATTATAGGAACTAGTAATTATAAGAAAATGTGAATTGCAAGATGATCTAAATAGTAGTAGTTAGTTCTAAATGTTGAACTGATTTTAGGAAAATATTAGAAAATTCTTGATGAGTTAACAACTGATTTCTTAGTGTTTTCAGTGAAGATGCAGGGAACTGTGTAATTGGATAAGGACAATAACATCTATACTAAGTGTGAAAGAAATGAGGTGAGGTGAATCTGTGGTGTGGTCGAGATGGATCTACTTTCATGAAGTATGGTGTAACATGTAGTGGGTCGTTCTCGATTCTGTCAAGATTGTTAGATTCAATGGATATACAAAAATTGATAGAGAAAATAAAATACGCTCAAACTGCTTACAAAGGAGTTACATGGGTTCTGGAAACATTTTACATTACAAAGTCTACAGTTGTTGGTTTGATTTCTTCCAACTTGTGCAATGTGTCAAAGAGGAGGTTAAGTGCAATTGTAGAACTGGATAGAATAAAAGTATTCAGTGTTAATGCTTTAGTTCTGTCAACTAAATGACTTCTGTCAATCAAATGAGAGTAGACAGAGTTGTGTATTGACTTTCTATGTTTATCTCCAAACCACACTATTATCAGTGTTACAGTTGATTGCAAAGTAATTGAGTTCAGTTTTGCAAAATAATAATCAATTGCTTCTATTATTATTATTATTATTATTATTATTATTATTATTATTATTATTATTATTATTATTATTATTGGCTTTATTCAAAAATATTTTGTCGGTTTAATATAGAATACTTGATGCAAAGTATTTCAACATGTTTCCATTTCTTATTTCTTGATCGATCCTGACGATAAACATTGAGTGATCGCCAATTGGATGTTAGCAGTTTAGGAATACACATCTGAATAATGTACACTCATTTCGATGTATATTGCCAGCAACCATAATGTCTCTGATTGTGCTCTTTCCTAACTTGTACAACGAAAGGTCATGAACATTTCACAAACGCATCTGAATAGCTTGTGCAACTAAATAATTGACACAATGATCTGTTGAAACAAACAAAAGACAGATAACATGTTGAAATATCTAGATAGCAGGCACAGTTAGCCTTGATATCCAAGTGCCCAGCCTAGTTAATATTATTGTCTCAATTCTCATATTTAGTAAAGGCCTTTTAAATATCGTTTATGTGAAACTGTTTTTACTATTTGCTTGTCTTTTAATAGAAATCCGCTTTGGATGTTGAAATGGAGTGAAAATTGGAAAGGTCGGAAATTTCAGAACTATTCTGTGATTCACTGTAATCCCTATTTTTAGTACGTAATGAGTTAACATGAGGAAGTGTTGTATTCCAGTCATAGTTTAGTAATAGAATATAAAATAATCATGAACACCGAAAGTTTAATATTCAGAACTCGTGATTAATAATAACAAAATTTACAAAACAGAGATTAACGGTCGATTATCTGACGCTAGTTAGATCGCATGATGATGATTATTATGGAAATATACACGTCGATAACCCTGGTATATTTTCATGGAATTAATTCACGTTAGACAATAACGGAATGAAATAAGTTGAATATGAGAATGAAATAGGTATACGTATACTCCATACACTCATTGATCCGCACAGACAATCAGAGAAACGAAGTGGAGAAAACGAAGCAGAGAATGTTGCTGGAAGAATGGAATAAGAACCAAGACGGGATAGTCGAGAAAGGCAACTCGTTTTGATGAAGCATTACTAAATATTCATATTCAGACAAAATTGAGTTGCAGACACGTATTGATCAGATCAAACAATCAACCCATATGAAAACATAAAATCAGTTAGGGTTAATAAGTGAGGAAGTGACAAGTTCAGAATGAAACTTGAGAAGAATAAATAACTGGTTTGTGCATAAGCTAGGATAGCCTATATGGGTTTGAAAAAGTACCAGTCACTACAGGACAAATTGATCATTATTCGTCAAATAACCTTCAACAAAGTAAACCAAACAATGGAATTCATAAATGTTTATCAGAAGGTGGAATAGTATCAGGCGAATTTCTCACAATTTCTTATGTGGTTTGTGTGTTTAGAAGAGTGGAGAGTTTAAATTTATGTGAAGTGAATGATGGAAATGCCTTAGTGATCAGTTTTCATCATTTGTTTCCGTCATCACTAAGATGCTTAATATGAAATATATGCAAATCATAACAAAAACGAATGAACTCTATTTAGAATGCAAATACACTCACGATGTTGAATACACCCAGAATGAAATTAACTTGTTGAATCTGAAGACACATTCATCAATTCACAAGGTCCTACGCAATAACCAGACAAATTAGAAAATTATTCAGAAACTAACTGCAGTAGAAGTAGGTACATATCGCATGAAAGGTTGAAAGTAAAAATCCTGGAAATCTCTTCATCATGTCATCATATTCATACTCAGCCTCGTCTTAATTCTCACTAACAAACTTGATATATCACAATCACAATGTCAATCTGTGTAGTTCAAGACTGAGGCAATTCTATTATTTTGTCGAATTTCACATTAACATACATCTGAACACAATATGAATCAGAGAGTTGACGCCCATATTACTAAAATTATTGGCTGAGAACTCTGTTGACAAATGTGTTTCATGTGACTAATATCAAAATACAATCTATTGAATATGTAATATTTTAATTTTAATTTCAAGTAAGCAAAAAATATTAGATATCCTTTGGTAAAATTGTGTTCCTTGAAAAATCACTGTCCTTGTCGTCATCTGATTGGCACCAAATACTATAATGACAACTTTATTATTGATTCATGTTGCTCTGAGTAAACAACAGTGATGAAAATCCCGAAAAGTGTTACAAGTCCGCTTATCAATGAACTTTAATAAGTTAACTACCTTCACTGACTACATTGAGGAAATCTTTTTTCCTGTGGCGTATAATACTTCTATGAAACTCAGTTTTGATTACCTTCAAAATGAGGGCTCCCGAACGCCCTGGTACGGCCAAGAGCGGGTAGAGTTCGTTCTCCCTCTCGAAACTCTCCCACACGGCCACGCGTATACAGCCTCTGCCAGGGAAGTCTTACTTAATGCCTTCACGTAAAGGGGGTGTTGTTTACGAAATTCAGAGGACGAAAAGTGAATGTCCGGCGCTTTAACCGGGTCACAAACCAATGGTGCACATGGGCTCCAGTATCCTGCGGGAACAAATGGCGTATGAACCAATCGTTGGTCACCGGCTACCATGGGATTGCATCTCCTTACGATGCTCCACTGCCTTGTGGGTTAGACCATTAGGTCAAAGGCTCGGGGTGTGGCCCCCTAAGATAACCACCTGCTTCGGTTTGGGCACCCGGGCAGTATCACAGCCCACTCACAAACGATGAACTCTATGACTATGGCAACTAATTTTCTCGCTCCGATAAACAATCAATCGATTCAAATAATTATTACTATTATTGTCATTATTAATACTATTATTATTGCCATTATTGTCATTATTATTATTATTATTATTATTATTATTATTATTATTATTATTATTATTATTATTTTCCACATTGTTCACCCTCTTTTATACTTATACAGCGGCTGGTCTTTGGTGGAAATTCGACTGTATCTAAACGTTCTCGAGTCACTGTCCAATTGAAAATTGTATGTTACCACCGATTACGAGAACTGGAGCAGTTTTTCTGAAACCACGTGCACCATTCAAACTGGCTGCCTTCAACGTTCGCACACTAGTGCAGGTCGGACAACAGATAGGGCTGGTTATGTCTTTGGAAAGTCTTAATATTGATGTTTGTTGTCTATCCGAGACCCGTATTCAAGACTCTGGTGAAGTACTACAAATTCGATCTCCATCTGTCACTTCAAAAAGCTTGTTTTGCGTGCGCTTATCCGGGGACCCTGTGGCATCGTCTGGTCTTGCTGGCGTTGGTGTCGCACTAAGCGCTAGAGCTGAGGCAGCACTAGTTGATTGGAACCCCATTAACAGTCGGCTATGTGCTGTTATAATCGAAAGTTCTCTC